TATATATATATATATATATACATATATATCTGAATTGAAATACAGTTATGCCATACACATCCAAAAGGGGAATTAGTCGCGAGACATTTTAATGCCATTAGCTCGCAGCTAGGTTTATCTCGAACCAGGCATGCATATGTTCTATATGTGTATGAAGTCTAATGCGTCACGTAACCTGCTCGTGGATACGAGACATCGGGGTAAATTGACACAGCTTTACCTGACAAGCGGTTAGGATTATTAAATAATTTCTACACGTTTAATTATGTTCAATCCTAAATAAATGCCTATGTCAAACTAACAGAAAAATGTCTTGTTTTTTTTTTTAGGCTTTAAATAATATCACTTGAAACAAATTTAAAATATTTAATTGATATGGTATTAAAGTGTGTATCTTAAATTTTATTACTCGCAAATTTGTAAACACACACATATAACGGAAGAGAAAGAGAGAAAAGAGAGAAAAATAGGGACAGCAGATTTAAATAAATTAAAATTTTTCAAAAAAACTTACTTATGTAAAAACTAGAAAAGCAAAGATATTTTAGAATTATAAAGATATATATCAGATTGTGAACTTTGTACCATACACACAATGTTTGTAAAGTCAGTCGTGCAACGAGTGTCAGGACTCATGGTGATCTCCGTCACGTGTTTGAACACGCATACGTCGCACGCATGTCGGGTGAACACGAATGTCACCCGCTGTCATTCTGCGAACGTCGAATAAATCATTGCCGGCGAGAGATATTCTCTGTTTGCTTGACGGCCGAATCTCTTGCTTTGAAAGCTTAAAACTTGCCGATTCAACGCTATATATATATGTGCACCGCAATAAAGTATCGAAAACGCGTGTTATTTTATTAAATCGTTAACGAATAACAAAATCAAAGTAACTGTCATCGTAAAATATAATGCGGAACTAAAACCTAAATGTTTTTCTTTAAAAGATATCGTTATAAAATCTTCAAAATATAATTAAAGCATATCTGACACACACATTCCGCATTTGTGAAAAGAAAAGATATGCATATTTCCATATTTTAATAGTAAACAGATAAAATCATTTACTGCAGTAAAATTCAAAAAATTCTTATAAATAAATTAAACGTGTTTTAAAGTAAACTATACAATTATTTGAAATGGAAAACCTAAATTTCTCTTCTTATGAATTAAAGAAAATCAATTTTTTAATAATATACATATCCAATTGAAATTAAATCTCTAGTTGTATAATCACTTTTATGCGCATAGTTGAAATTTTATTATAAATATAAAGGTTGCAATTTACATCTCTCAAATAATGTACGAGTAATTTTCCGTTGTATGCGTTGCACATCATCGATCGAACAATTAGTTCGATCAATCTCGCAGATTTACCATCTAATGATCTCATATACGGAGTTGAAACAGAATAATATAAAATCTGAAATCGCAGGTCACCATTGTGCTCAGCGTCGCCTATGTACATACTTAGGTATGTAGATTGCGCGCCTCGACACGTGCCATTAATGGCTGATGGCTTCGAAACTCTCTCACGCCATTTTCTATCCTTCCGTGCACTCCAATGGAAGGTCAACTCCTTCAACGCGAAGATGACTTCGTTGCGCGATAGCGCAATTCGTATTATGTAAATTGTACAGCATATTTCTCCATCTACGTTTTTGTAACACTTTATGCAACACCTAATGTTAATAATTTTTCTTTTATTTTGTTTTATACGATAAATAAAGTAACATTTGTAAAATCTCTAATTTATGTCTTCCATATATATATATATATATATATATATATATATATATTTACCTTTATTAACGCGACTTACATAACGCATAAATTAGACGCAAAAATATCATTGAGCTCACCATTACGTCAATGCGTCGTCCCTCATGCTTTGGCGTCCGATGCGAACATTCCTCGACGTACGGACGACTTGTCGGCCAAATCCGCATAAACTTGTACGTTGCACCAATTCATGATCGATACACTTCTTCGTGAATACGTTACGCTTTCAAACGGCAAATGACCGGAAATGGGACGCGCTCGGGAACGCTTTTCAAACGAAATCGCCACCACGCGAGATCGCGCCCGCCAGTCACATTAAACGATTACGTTTCTATAAAATGCACGCACTATGCTCGTCGCCCTTTCGATCGTGCACTTTCATTCACGATTCCTTATACGTGAATCGAAAATTTTTATCTGATCGAGAATTCTGATGAGGAAGAAATTGCTATCGATATAAATCGATTATCGTTACATTGATGGTTCGGATAATTTCGAATTAATTACGAATTTTACAAGGTACATTTATTCTAGCATACGAGCAACAATGGGTGCAAAAAAGCTTCAGTACACATTAGAGAAGAACGTATCGAGATAACGTTTAGTATAGTTCACGTGTAAGCGCGATTACCTGTTTAATGTAAATTTGGCGCACCTCGGAAGTATTTTTTAATTTGAGACTTAACTTTTAACGAAAAGTAGTGATCGTGATAAAGCCACGCAAGGGGTTGTTAAGCACAGCCGGCAGGGTGCGATGCACACGATTCTCCAGCGGCAGTTGACGCGACACTAGAGAAAATCGGAGTTCGCTTGCCGCCACAGGACTCTGGACGCCTGCGCTCTCCGTTCTCGCCACCACGAGCCACAGGATTTCGCATAAACAGCGCGCGTCCGCGACCCTGGTATTCCGAGAGACGAATACATATATATATGTATGTATCAGAAACGGTCGAAAGTTTCACACGATCATCAGTATCGTCTTTTATAGTTTCGTCAAACAGACGGAACGATTGTCGACCAGGAGCGTTTACCGCTCGGTTTACCGCTCTCAAAGCAGTTGTTTAAACAGATGTGATTATAATAATTCTACAGTTGCTCCGAACAAACTATATTTTCATTCAGCCATTTTCAAATCATTTGTTTAAATCGATAGAAATATTACCGCAGAAAAAATTACCATTTTAGATGGATATTACAAAGAAGTGATAAAAATTCATAATAAAATTCAAAACGATGCAGTAGTTACTACACTTCCACGATTTGCATTATGGAAGAGTGAGATTATTGAATTCTTTGTCACAATGTTAAAGGGAGATGCACATTGCTGTGTGTAATGAAATCATAACACTATTCTAGATAGACGCGGCGGCTTCGTGCCGTCGAGTGAAAATCAGCGAGGTAGATCAAGTTTAATCCGTACTCAGCAAGTTATCACGACTATATAGTCAATTAAACTATAGTCAACGCAATAACTATTTGTAGTCTCTAAATATCTATCCCGTAGACGGTCGAGACAGTTTACGTCGGCAAGTATATCATTAGTACGTCTCAATGTGATTACGAGCGCTTTAAATAGCCGGCAATAAAAGGAATTTCCGCTTTAATTCGATATAACGTCACGAGTCATTAAGTCCGGCCGTTTTTCATTATTTTATCGCCAAGATATCTCGCGAATACATTGGTCGTGCAACTCCAAATGCTATTGAAAAATTACATCGTATAAAAGGAGATGTGCAGTGAATGTTTGTTTCAATTATTATATGCGATACAAAAATTGTACAACCTTTCATAAATATTCTATAAAATGTTTAGAAAATCTATAAGATTTTATACAACTCTTTTATATATATATATATAAAAATTAACAAAGTGGTTAAAATATCTGTGTTCTTTCTCTTTTTATTGTATATAAATATATGATATTAATGTATAACGTCAATAACATGAATATATCTTATATAAAGACATTCCTTTCCTTTTCTCGCGCTTTCTTTTCTAGCTGACTGATTTAAAGTTTATTACGTAGCATAATCCCTTCTTCTTTCCATGACAAAGTTACTTTGACGTAACACGGAATGATGGTCTCGTTTAAGTTTGCAAAGTGCTGCATGTCACACAGCGGTTTTAACTGCAGAATTAGCTTTTCCGACGACTGTGCGTAATAAAGATTGAGATGACCGAATAAAGCCGCATAAGTAATTATACGAAAAAAATCATTATTCTTTAAAATAAATTAAATATATGTCATTTAATATTGTTCATTAAATAGGAATAAAAATTACATTTAAACAAAAAATATTATATATATTTTACTTATCTTACCGATTCTAATAAATATGCAATTGAAAAGAAACTCTCAAGAAGAGGAAACGAGATGTAATGATGGCGTTTGAAAAATGAGCGAAATAAAATTCCTGAAATGAAAAAGCTTTTATACGTCCTGATTTGCATCAGAAACGTTTCTCCATCATCAATTATAACTGAAAAGCAGAAATTCCAATATTTCTGTACCTGTCCAATACACGTCTTAATGCCAAACTATCTCGAGACTTGATCTTTCATTTTTGACGCACATTACTTATCTCGAGACATTTTTCATAGAAAGATATACATTTTAATCGTAACTAAGAAGTCGTGTAAATATTCTTTTATATTGAAGTACAACATAAAAATTAACAATACATAATTAATTAATCCAACATCAATAAAAAAAATCACACATTATATATTAATAAATTTAAGATATTTCACATATATAATTCAAGAAATTTTTTATTCTACTCAAACGCGCACATTTGTTTCAATGATAAAACATCATTTTCGAAACTTGCGCAATTGTGAAAACTGTAAATAACTGTAAATAATAAGACAGACTTGTACCTGGCACGATTCCAAACTTTTATCACAAATCGTAAAACAGATACAATCGAGACACATTTCTGAATACGTCACATACTCTATGTAATTTACACATGACTCGGCAGATGATCAGGCAGACGATCCTTGATTTCGCACAGAATCTCAAAAATACGCGTCTTATATGCCGGCATCTTTTCGCATTGATAATACACGAGTTCCGCTCGTTCATCCCCGTACAAAACTTGCTCGAGCTTGTCGGTCGCGGTACAGAAATACTTCGCGGTTGTTTCACTGGCCAGCAACATTACTTGTAGATTAAGCGCGGCGTAAATAAGCGCTATGTTTCGCGCCTCGGCGTAACTTTTCTGAAATGCCATCCAGGATAGACAATTTTCTATGTCAAAACCTTCCTCCGCCAGTTCCCGAGCTAATGAATCGTGATAAATCTTAGCGAAAACGTCAAAATGACGATCTCTAGTACTTCGATTAGTGTTTAAATACAAGCAGAACGTAAAATCGATTGCCGGAGGACAATAACAAAGAAACTGCCAATCTATTATATAGCAGCCATTCGTATTGCCGGCCAGGTCGTGCCGAAACATTATATTATTTGCCCAAATGTCGCGGTGACAGAGGACGTTTCTGTGTTCCTTCGATGGTGCCAACAATCGCGAAATTTTTCGAGACCATTCGATGAATCGGCGCTTAACAATGACCTTTTCTTTATCGTCGAGTTCTTCCATGAAATCGATCATAGCGCAGAGGCCTGTAATACTGGAGGCGAGAGCTCTCTCCGATCTGTCGTCCCCCTCGACAAAGAGTACCTCGTTCAGCAGTCGTCCGTAAAGATCGAAGATGGTCCGACCGTCCTCCCGACGAAGTCTTTCGTCCAGTATCAGAGACCTCGAGTGGAGCCTCGAAAGAGTCCTCAGTAGCCAAACGCAATGCTCCTCGTCAAATGGCACGTATTTGTTCGGCGTGGCATAGCCATCTATCGAAGCATCCTCCAGGACGATAATGACGTTTCGTTTGCAAAAATAATACTCTACCATCCACTTCGGAGATCCACCCACGCCCATCCGTCGCACCAGATCCGTATAAACGGTGATTTCTTTGTTGAACGTGTCGTACCGTTGCAGAAATTCGAACTGCGGACTGTGAGTCGGCGGTGGAGTTTTGGCGAAGAGTCTTAAACTTTGCGTTTTTCCATCGATTTGCGCCAAAATATGAAGATGATAATATTGTCCGAGAAAACCTTTCGTTTTATCGAGAGACTCCAATCTCCAGTCAACAAGGCGAAAGTTACCGCCGAATTTGCGTTCCAATATTTCGTTAATGTCGCAATCTGTCAAAAGAGACGACAATCCCTGACAATCCAGCGTGGAAATCGGTAACATGGAGCATGTCTTGTCGATATTTATCGCCGCCATATCACACCTGTCCGTCCAGAGACTATTAAGCAGCCAACGACGATCGTACACCGAATTTATATCGCGCTATCCAGCTGTCACGTGATCGTAATAGAAACTAAATTTGTTCTGATAAACTTGCCAAAAAATGTCTTGGTAAATGTTTGACTTACTTCGTACAAAGATACAGATTGCAGAAATAGACAGCTCGGCAGATGCCAGTCGACGCAGTGACAAATATCTCAAGTAGATTGATATAATTTATGTCACACTGTAAATCTGTCCGATATACTTTAGCAATGTGACGAGAAAATGAATCTCGTGATATACGCCATTCTAAGCAAAAAAAGATCGCGATAGCGTGTCTGCGTACAGGAAATTTACCGATACGCCAGCACACCGAGTGCGGTCGACTCGAGAAAAATGTTGCAGAATGAAGCTCGAAGCTACTCGTGGTTTGCAGTATTTATCTTGGGATATACCGCGTCAAACGGTCGTTACGGTAATTATTAGTTTGTGGATTTTACGGAAATAGACGGAATAGATGAATTTAGAATCATCGAAATATTGTATACTGTGGTTGTAATCAACTCATCGAGTAACAAACGCTAAATTAGTATAGTTCACTGTCGTCGAAACATCGAAAACGGAACTTTAGATTATCACGTGTATGCGAGCGTATTATTGTTAACAATTAACCCGCACGAAACCTGCACGACCACTAATTAACGTCAACGACGCGCCAGCTAAACAGGTTTGGGAAAATAGATCCGTTAACGTTAATTACGTGTGTTACCTAACCCGCTAAAATACACCGCTTAATAAAATTACACGCGGATCGATTCCATCGTTGCGATCGCTAACGCGTGGCAAACACTTACGCGTGATTGCTTTGCGCCTCAAGGATGGAAAAAGGATGTGAATGGAAAAGATGTAATAAGCATAATCCTAAGCTGTAGAAACCGTTTAAGTCCGTCGGGTGCTATAAAACAATTCGAAGGAGAAACTTCGCCAGCTTCGTAACCGCCAAAATTTATTCTTCCTTACTGTGAACGTATCTAACTTCTCGGAAGCAACTATTAATGGGGTCACACACTATATAGTCCTTTCGGCTTCGTTACTTTACGGTACCAAAGGTAATTCGATTAACTGCCTCCTGAAGCTGCCAACGGAGACGAACTCGCTAATATCAATGCATAATCGATAGAACAACCACTCAAATTTGCTTCTAGAAAAAGTTTCTATCCTAGCGTTTGCTATATATAATTAAAGCAAAAGGTTTAGCAAAAGATAAAAAAATTCAATGAGAAACATTTAAATAATAATTAATAATTTAAAATAATATAATTAGCAAAACAACAATCATTCATTTTTTCTAATGATTTAATAAAAATTAATGATTAAAAAATTACTTCCAAAAAATTTCAAAATGTTATAATTTTTTTAGTTTGTTTTGCGTTTTATATTTTATTTTATGTTTGTTAAGAGATTAAAAATTCGCTGTAGTTGCGAATCTCTCCTGCTCGAAAAATTGTACATTACATCGTATAAATAAATAATGACAAAAAAGGAGGTCACGAGAAGTCTCTAATTGCTCGTCGTCACGTAGTGCCACGAAAACGTCGTCGACATTTTCCTTTTTCTGCGCGAACGGTCATGTAGAGCCCGGCAAAAGTGGAATTCTCATTAATTGACGTGGTACTAATTAGACTTTTAATTAACGAGTCGGAAATAAACAACGATTTGCGAACAGATGTCGCATTGCTCGTATCTCTAATGATTTAACTATCTATAAGAGGAATAATGTCGACGTCCATTAATGCACATAAATTTGCACAATCTTGAGTAGTGATTAGCAATTGGTGGGAAGTCATGACGTTCGCGCCTTTCATCTTTATCTTCAATACTAGATAACTAACAATGCCCATTTTGCACGGTAAGCCTCTTTTCCACCAACTCATCTTGCAATCTCTTTTTTTTTTCTAAAATATACTGTAATAAAATGCGCTTTCGTGAAAACAGTATACCGACATGCCACGGGCTCTGCATTCACGTTTATCACGATCATAAATTTAAGCCTCCCGTCGCCTCTGATTATACCTCTAGACAAAGTCTCGCGAGCCTTACATCGACCTAATGATTCAACTGTCTATTATTTATTCGATTGCGCGTCCTTCACGTTGCCATGCCACGTTTTTTGCATGCGGACTTGTAATTACGCTATCCAAGAAATGCTTTAAAATATGCAACGGCCGTCTCTGATATCTGACCTACTGTCGCAATGAAGCGATATCAGGTTATATCTTCGGTATAATACCTTTGGTGTTTAAGCGTCGAAAGCTATGACAACGATTGTTCGTACATCATACAGAAGAATGCAATGTTAAATCCCTGACGTTATTCCAGCGACGTATATAAACGGCGGTAAAGAAAAATTTCTTTCTTTCTGACACAAACGTCGCCGGCTAAAGTCGGCACTCTCCGAGTCTTGAGTTTCAAGGATCTCGCGATGTTTCGCATGAAACTCGATGCCGAGTTGCAAGCCGAGGGCGGAAATTTATACGTGTTTGTATATGTGTGTACACACACACACACACACACACACACACACACACACACACACACACACACACACACACACCGCGCGCGCACACACACACACTGTTTCCTCTCTCTTTTTCTCTCTTTCTCCGTAGCATTTCCTTTTAAGTATTCGGAAGTGAAGCAATCCCGGTATCAACCTTACTTCCGCGATACCGTATGGCAAAGAAAACAGAAATATCGAGGAATGCGGGAGATATCCACAAATCGCTTTAAAAAATGCGAGATAAAATTATCAAAAACAAGAAAAATACATTCGAATTTTAAATCGCTATTACGATAAAAAAAATAACCTATAACATGTAATTACATGTCGTAATTAAAGCCCACAAACATTTTCATTTTAATTATTAATATCGATTGTAATAATTGAATGATATGAATCTAAAGATTTGTGTAAAATTATTAAAAATTTTGGTGGCAATAATTGAAAAAAAATGAAGCTTATACGGTAACTCAATTTTAAGAGTATCGAGAGAATTCAAACTAGCCGATTAATACCTATCGTATTAAGTCTTAAAAACAATTTGACAGACAATATTTATATTCTATTTTTATATATCTAAAATTCTTTTCACTGATCTATCCAAGAAATGATAAATTCTAATAGTGAATGCTGTACTTCTCTTGAATGTAATAACAGAAAAAGAGAGAAAGAGAGAGAAAATTCAGGAAAATATAAAATAAAAACGTCGCACCGGAGGCTAAAAGTATTTCGCTTCAAAAACAATTTTTTATATGAAACATTTTCAAGACATACAATATAATAGATCAATCGAATATCCTATATTGTATAATATACTTAAAGTAAAATGTAAGAAATTGCGTTTAGAAAATGAATTGTTAAGAATATGAAAAGATACATAAACCAAGAAACAATATTTCTAGATATTGTGCATTTCCTACAGATTGAAAAAGGCTCGATGTAAATTTGTTTCGGATCGCGTGATCCTCACGTTGAGGGAAATATAAAAAAAAATATTTGTGCGTACATATTGTACGGCAACAAAAATAATTCATTAATCAAAAGCGGCGCGTGCGTTATGGTCTGTAAATCGGGCGCACAGTTTATGGCGCACCATACTTCCATTTTACCCGTTCTGCTCCCAGACAAATCCTATACATTGTCAATATTGTTACACGTTTATCCAATATTTGAAAACACAACACACCACGCTAATATTAATTAGCAATCGCGTCGGTATACTCTGTTCAATGTGTTAAATGCTCATTTATCGTGTCGAAACTCGATTCTAATTCTAATCAAATGTGATCAAAACTTTAAAAACGATTCATATAAAATTTCATAACATACTTTTTCGTGAAATTTAAAAGCAGTCAAACCGCAGCATTTTTGCCTGGATGATATCAATGATAGACCTTATCAGTTTGATAGTTATGATAGTTATGATAAAAAAAATATCACAAGAAAATAGAAGGAAGCATGTACAAAAATTTTTGTATACTACAAATTGTATTTAAAGCTATTGATTTTGTCTCTTTCGGTTATATTTCACGAAATAAAAATGTAGGTATAGAAATTTCATTGAACGTTTTATGAAGCAAGGACGGTGACCAACCTAGGAAGCTTCTCGTTCCGCTCTATCGGGTGTCAGGATGAGACGGCTCCGTCTATAGAAATCCCTGGTTTTACTCGATCGAGCAAATCTCATGTCGGGATAATCGATTTGGACTCTATTCGGTCGACCGTACCAGTGATTAGTAGTCATTGGCACGACGTGACGTTTGTTCTCCTCGTGTATCTCCGCCCAAATGAGACTCGGCTTCGTGCGATCACATCGCGGTTTACTCGGATCGAAGGGAGTTACGGCGTACAAACGATCATACGCCGATCTCGCGTCAGCGATTCTCTTCTCCCGCTTGCGATTGCCAAAGTACGTCGTCGAGTGTCGTTCGGTCAACGGTTCCACCTAAAATTTATCCTCTTGCCAATAATCTCACTCTTACTATCCTTCATCTAAAGATGTGTTTTTTAGTTCTGCGTTCCGATATTTATTAAAACTGAATGAAAATCTGAAAACAGAAAATCTATAATACATGTGACAGGAAATATTTATTTTCAATATGAGCAGTAAATATCGGAACGCAGCCTTGAATAACCGTTTCAAATATAATTCTAACGAGACACGGAACATCTTTATCGCGCGTAAATCCATCCTGTATTATTTCTATCGTAATGACGTAGCAAGTCAACGAAGTCAGACGTCTCTTTTGAGATATCTTTAAAAACTAGATATCCTTTGATGTCTATAAATACGGGTTTATTCTCTGCGTGATACCACGTATATGCGTGGTATCACGGTGCTCCGTAACAATAGAGGGAAATGTATGTGTAATTGTAGTGAGAAGATTAAAGAATCATGAACTTACCACATTCAAATGTTTCATCTCGTTTCGGATGCTAACCTCCCACCCCCGCATGCGAAGCC